TGCGCGACGTGGAAGACGTGGAAAACAGCGAACGACTGGACGCGCGCGGAAACGCGAAAAGTAACCCGATCGGGTTGCGGCTAAAAAAATTCTTACTCCCCCCGGTAATATTTTCCGGGAGTATGATTTGCCTGTTACACCGGATTAAACATTTGTGAACCCCTAGGCAATTAAAATTTTGGGCCCTACAAAATTATTTTTCGCTTACATCGTTAACATTACTATACAATAATTAAAGTAAACAGCTTTAATAATAACCAACTATTATTAATAAATAAAATCATGTTCATTATCTTTTTGTTATTTGCAAGAAAACTTAATTATTATATTATTTATATTTGTCGTATTATATATAATCGTATAACGTTTGCAGGTTCGTTTTTAATTTCGGACGCTATTTGGATTCACGTTTGACGCGGTGTTAACTTCTCGTCCCTTTGGCGGTAACAATACGTGCGTGTGCGCGTAATTTTTTTCCCTTTTACTTTTCCCGTGCATCGCGGGAAACTCAATATTATATTATTACGGCAAAAAAATGCCGCACTCGAGTCTCTTAAGCGTTCGTAACAATGCGTACACACACGGACCCGTACGCTATGTTTGCACACGGCGAGAGGGATAAAAAAATCAACTTATCGGACGTGCGTCTCGACGAGACAAAAACGGGGTAATTTCTGGTAAACACCACTGTTCACGTCGAGTACCGTGACCGTGTTGAAAAAATATACGAATGTTAACGCGCGAAAAATTAAATTTCTTTTTTCTTTTTTTTTTTGTTCACACTCGTCCGATTCGTCCGGTTATCGGGACGAGAGACGATCGTCGTATGTACGTCGCATCCTTCTAACGCGCGGTAAACCGATTCGATAGGGATATGGTTGAAGGAAATCTGTCCCCGCACGGTATCTCGTGAGAATTTTTTTCCCCCTCAAACCGTACCTATCGTGACTTGCCAACTAGGCGTTTGTTTTTCCAAACGTTCGTTCAAACGTGTTCGCCGACGTTTAGAAAACGTGGCAAAACGTGCCGAATCAACAGCTGTTATTCCGCGATAATCGTAGATTATATTCGAGCCGAGAACTCGGATGTGTAATGAGTGTAATTAAGACGAAACTGCACTTTTCATCGTGACGGATGACGACGACGACAACGACGTTTAACGCGTCTGGCGGACGGACCAGAGAGTCGGGGGAGATTCTTTTCCCTGGGCCGGTGACGTTCATCAGACTACGCGTCGGCCAGGAATCATTAGAACAATAATATGAGTCGTGTTTGGTTACATAAATGTCTAACCGTTACTGGTACGTATTATACTAAAACTGCGCGCTGAAAACTGGTGATAATCGAAGGTACGACTAATATTTTGGAACGGTTATCCATTGCCGAGGAATGATGGATCTACCAAAAGTTAGTACGCAGATGTAAGCGAAAACTGTTGATTAGGTTTTCCGAAAAACCTCATGGAACCAAGGCTACTTTGACAATGTTATGTTGTTGCAAATCTGTCCGTCAACAATTAGCGCCACTGGACTATAGAATTTCCCTGTGCCGTTCCGTTACCCCAGTCCCGCCTCTGGTACAATATATATATATACATGGACTAACGGACAGTGTACACGTTGCGCGAGAACGATTCGAATCTCGAATACGAACGAACGATTACCAATCGTGTTGGAAAGCGCGAGAACTCGACCGCAATTATTCTTGGTACACACTGTTGTCCGACCAGGGCCGGCTCAAGGTATAGGCGAACTAGATAAAACGGAATAACATATATATACAGGGAGCTAAAAACGTTGTACTGATATTTCATACTTTGTTCCTGTACCGTGATCAATAATCATAAGAAATGTTATTAGCAAAATATTTTACAGTACTACAAGTTTCGCAATCATTGAATTCCATTCAAATTTCCCGGGCAGTACCGTGCACATTGCTCCATGCCCCCGTTACATATTCACAATCAACACGTCCGTGCGCGGTTTCCATGGTTAGACGACGTTTTGAAACAAATAAACGTTAAACAACGTCGCGCGCGAATCGCACACACGGAAGACGATGTCGCGATACGATCACGTGCTCAGCGAAGAATTCGACGACTACGAGCACCGGACCACGTGCCGTTCGTGTCGCGGACCGTCCGCGAATCTGATCCGTTCGCCGTCGCCGTGTCTCGCTGGCTCGCCGAGGTTCGGTTACGTCGCGTTAACCCTGGTCGCGGTACTGCTGCTCGCCGTCGGGTTGGCGACTTTCTACGGTTCGCGTTACCTCCGGCCGACCGCCGACGGCCAAACGAATGTCCCGTGTCGACTGCTAAATCACCCGTCGTCGTCGTCTTCCGATTGGCCGATTCGACGACCCCGCTGCAAGTGCCGGTCGGCCCGCAGGCACAAGCGCCCCGAAGGGATTTTCGCCGCCGCGTTTAGATCCGTGATTCCGTTCCCCGCGAAATCGTGACCACGTCCGCAAACGCTTCCGGAGGCCGAAGGCCACCACCATTAGCGACCGACAGCCTTGTAACGGAGCCAACAGTGTTAACTCATAAAAAAATTCTGTACCGATTTTACGAGCGTCAAAAACCTTACTCACCACCCCCACTTACCAGAACACTGGTTATCGTTCGTGAGTCACAGAAAAACTGATCATCGAGTGTCCTGTAATATGGTCGGGGGTAACCGGTTGAACATAGGGTGTTCAGGAACGGTTTAAACTAGTCCTTTTGAATGTATTCTACCGTAAGCGTAAAAGGATCTAAATATTACTAACAAATACAGATTGGTTAGGATAATTATTAAGATTTAATATAAAAAATAACGAGGATCTCTACGTCGTAACAGTACGGAGTTTAATACACCAGGTGGACGTCGTGGACGAACTACCGTGCCTTACGTATTCGGCATTAGCCGTAGGACTTACAATAGTGATATTTGATATATGCCCTAGTTGGAACGTAGTGTCAACTCAGCAGCAATATACAGATTATATGTGTAGACTAGTAATTATGTAACAAACGTTACAAGTCCACTGACGGACGGACGGTGTAAACAGCGACACGTGTTATTTCAATCGGAACGAAAAAGCGTTGATCAAAAAACTTTTTTCTTAAAAACACTTTTTATATGACAATAAAAATACATATAATCACTTGAAACTGAAAATACTTGAATTTTTTGCCCTTTTGTATTATTAACTTTTGATGTATCAAAATTATAAATTTGAATCTTTGTCAATACCCTTTTTTTAATTGTAATTGAAATTTAAATTCACATAATAATTACTCGCTAATCATACTGAAATTTCTAATATTTCATTCATTATATAAAATGGATTAAGATAAAATTCTTTTTTTACATATTACAACGATAATTCCTTTTCAATAAGAAATTTAATGACTAAGTTTATGTATTATGTGCTTATTTACAAAACAATTTGATCAAATAACATTATTAATTAAGGTTTTTATTTAAATTTGTCTTATGATTTATTATTGAGAATACAGCAAAACCATGTTCCAATTCGATCGATAACTGTAGTCTATTTGCGCCCCAGAGTATTACATTTGCGCCCCGAGAGATGTGGACAAATGCGCCCGAAAGATAAGGTACAACCTGCCGATTTATAGCCCATATGCGCCCATTTCGCATACAATGTTGACATTGTGATTTATAATATAGATTATTTTTATTTTGATAAATACTTAAATTAAGTAGATTAGTATAATTATAATAAATATATAATATATAATTATATAAATTATAGTACTTAAATAATAATTGTCAAAATAATGTAGTTTAAATTTTATAATTTTTTCAATATTTTGGGTTTCAAAAAATTAATCAATATGACAGTAACCAACATTAAATCCAGTATTTCTAAGTTGAACAACACTTAATTAACACTTACATTAAACTTATAACTTCACACTAAGTTTTATTTTTTGTAGTCAAAACTGTCTAAAATATCGATTAGTGTTGATTTTAAACAATTCATTTTTACATGCACACTACAATTTTTTTTAACACAACACCAACTTATATTTATTGAAACAAAATGTCAACTAAAGTGGAATTTAAAGTTACGAAAAATTAAACAATCACGATTTTTAGTAATATTTATTATATTAAAATTCATTTTTATACACTTGCAACTCACGTATAATACTCTAGTTAAAAATTTGTAGTTTGAGTAAAGTTGCAGTACGCATACTCAGAGAGAAATGAGAGTCGTCATGAAGTTGCAATCAAGATAAAATGGTACGATATTTGATAATATCGATAAGAGTAACGCAAAAATTAAAAATAATTAAAACTGGTAAATAATATGTACAATTTGGCGGCCGGGCAACATATTTCGATTATTATCAATCATCGAGTAACTCGATTATATTCACTCGATTATGCCCATTATTATGTACAACAGTTTTAACTTTATAATTGCTTATATTGCTTGCATTCCAAAATACAATTTGGCAACGTTGCGCGGTTCAACACATTTTTGTTAAAAATATTTCAGAAGCAAATGGGTAATAAAAAAGGTATGATGGGCGCAAATGGTTTCCACCGCGATCGTTTAATCTTTTGACACAGATCAGTTAGGTTCGACACGGCTATGTTTAGTGTCAGATTAAAGGAATGCCACACCAATTTACTAATTTTTCATCTTTTAAGCTCTAATATCTAACAGTATAAAATCAATGTAATAATAATAATAATATCAAAAAAAAAGTCGCCGTTTACTTGTATAAGCTTTGTTAAGCACCATTTCACGCACTCGCACCACAAATAATAATAAATGTGAATACAACTTATAGACAAGATATTATACCTTAAATAAGAAAATGTCTGTAAAAGTGTAATATAATTAAATGTTGAAAGTAAACATAAATGTTCATAACAATAGTTTTGATACAATTTTAAAATGTAAGATTTTTTATGCAGTTTATTATTCCCGTAAACTGAATCTGCAAGTAATTTCGAAGAACACTCGTAAACGTGTGCGGCTTATTTGATAAAAACATCGACTGATGATTCGCAGCATTTATCGACCAGGTTGTTGCACACGAAATTTTTAATGTTGGCAGACTCGACCAGGTAAAAGCCGACGTCTCCGCCAAACGTCTCTGGCTTCCACGACGTTTCGCTGTTCAAAGGATTGGTTAAAATGGAATTGATTATAAAACTTTTGGTCACGACCGTGAACGTGGGAACGCTATAAACGTCATCTTTCCTCTCCGCCAACATTCCCGCCATTAGTTCGACGTTTTCCACCGAGCCGTACAACAGTTTCAACGCCTTAGCGGTGTCCCGGTTCCCGGTCAACTGGTAGAAACTCCCGTAAGCGGTCAGTCCCAGGTGCCTCCGGTAGTTGTTAAAACTCTGCACCGCGTTCTCCCTGGACAGCTCCAACAGGAACTTCGTCAGCGTCTCCGTGGGGGTACCGTCGTTGTTGCTGGTCACCTCGCCCATGCTCAGGTCGGCCATGCGTTGAATCGTATCGCTCAGGCCGTTCTTCTGCACCTGTCTGCGTAACGCGAAATCGAACGGTATCACGTGATACGTTTCGGAACGTCCTCAAAGTAAGTACTCCACGTCTAAGGTTTATTGTTCTATCGACGGCGACACGTGTTATAGAGACGGTTCTAGGCCAAAATAACGAAACAATTAACTGCGAATATAAAAATCGCGAATTGCAAAATAACCGATCATGCATAATAGCGAAACTGCAGTTTTCTATAATTTCTATTTTTCAAAATTTATAAAACTGTAAAACTATAATTTAATAATTAGTATTTTCAATAATATAATAAATATTCTTTAGCAGGAAGCCACCCGACTGTATGGAAACGTATTGATGTAATAAGGAAAATTCGAAATTTATAAGATTTAAAACGAGAACAGTATAATGCTGGAGAACAACCAGAGATAAAAAAAGTACAAGGACTGTGCTAAAAGACTTCATTCGTCAATTACGTATAGTAATACTAATGATAATAAGTACATATGTAAATGGTATAGCATATAAATTTTCACTAAATACCCAATTGTTTTTTCAAAATTATTATCACTAAATGCTTAATCGTATAATTTCACCATTATTAATTCGCTATTTTTACATTCGCGGTTGTTGTTTCGCTAACTGATCTCCCGATCACGCATCTAGACGTATTATTTTCACACGCTCTATGCGAACTACACGGACGATCCGACGGGACAAAAATCGTAACGTCGATCAACCAAATTTTAACTAACCCGCGAGCGCTTCGGAACGTGTATGGCGAACCATAAAGGATATAGAAAGCGAACAATTCATTATTGACTCATCTCACCCCACCAATCGATTCAGTGTTTGCGTTCTCCGCGCACCATAAATGTTTAGGTTCATACAAATTGTAGTGCTGCATTCCAGTATACCACCAACCATTTACCAATATGCGACGAAGTCACATTCCACCACCGAACCCCGACTAAACTCCAGAAGCGAGTGCTCCTGAGAATCATCTGATTCGAGCGGTACCACGACTGACCTGTTGTCGGTAGCTTTGACGTGACGCAAGTAATCGGGTACACCGGTGCGCAGGCCCACGGTCAGCAGCAGTTCGAGCGGGGTGCCGAAACCGCGGACGCCGTCGAACCGGTCGCCGAACGTTTTCGGCTCGTATCTCAAATCGCCCGCGTCCAGCACGTCGTTCATCATTATCCGCATCATCTGCGCCTGGACGATGTTCTTCGCGACGCCGTACACCCGGCGGTCCGTCCACGCCGGCCGCCGGCCGGCCAGCACGTCGCACACGCGGTTGTGCTGCCGCACCCAGAGCGTGGCCATCGCGAACAGCAGCGGGTCCGAGCCGGACACCGGGTGACCGGTGGCCCATCGCGGTTTCCGCGCGTCGCCGTACACGCGCTGCACCGCGGGCCAAAACGCGTCCTCGTACGTCGCGTTGTCCGCGGCCACCAGCAGCCTGTTGAACTGCGTCCCGCGCGTGTAACGACGGCCGCGAACCAATTAGTGCTTACCCTTACACCAAAATTGTGCTTACCCAGTGAGATCGTTTCCGGCTCAGCACCGCGTCGACGATCTTCTCGCCGAACGACAGCTGCGGCGGGTACTCTTCGCCGTTCACGCGCTCCGTTTTCAGCTTCCCGCCTGCCAGCGACCGCAGTTTCCTCTGGGCGTGCCTGCCGATCCCGTACACCTGAGAACCGGTCACCTGTCGAACGCGTAGCGAAGTCGGTTAGGTTTTCGCGTCGCCGATCATCGGATTTAGGTAAGGCCCTCCGTGACGCGATATCCCGAAGAAGTGAATGGTGGTGGGAGGGGGGAGGTCCACTGATGACTGGTCATCGTATCGCACGAACAGTGGCGTAGGAAGACTCTCTAGCGCCCCTGGCGAACTTAGAAAAAAACGCTATTTGACCAATTAAAATTTGATGTTATGATATTTTTTTTAGCCTTTAATTTTACTATTTTTTTTTTAAGTAGACGATTTATGTTATTTATGTTAATAATTTATTATTACAGTGTTCATTTTAAACTTTGAAAATTTTCTTTTCTCGTTTTATGACTGGTAAATTCATTAATAATTCTTTGCGCTATTTTCATAATTTCATCATTAAATTCTCACGTAACGTGTAGAAATAAACAATATCTACGTATTACAAAAAGTATAATAGAAAAATTTCGACTGTACGATAAAAATACGACTTTGGCACAATTTTGCGCCCCTTTGCATTTCGTGCCTCTGGCGAAGGCAGAATATCGTGTCATATCGGTGGACTTCGAATCGCAAAAATTGCGCGTGCATCACATATCGCTCGTTTCAATCGCGTCGCGTGCGCAAAGAGCTATATTAATTTAGGACGCGTTGCGCGCGAACCGTCGGGTTGGAATCGGTGTGGAAGAACTGCAGGATGAAGAACTGATAGAACGCGTGCCACAACACGTTCCGACGTCTCGAATCCTGCACGAAGCCACCGCGTTCCCTCCGGAACACCCGCTCGTACAACAAGTCCGTGGACGGCAAACCTGGATGATTATGGTCCTGGATTATTATCAGCTGTCGTTAAGCTAAGTGTACACGTGCGTGTTTTTAGTGGCACCAGTGACGCATCACTATAAATAAACTTTCACGTGCAAATACTGGCGCGCAAGTGAAATAGTTGTATGCACGGAAAAGTTAAATCGGATAATAGCAACTTTCAGTAGCGCCAGTTCCGTTTTTACGGTTATCTGTACTGTTTGTGCCGTGCTGAAAAAGGCAAAAATCCAATACAAGTTCTTTTAAAAGTGTATCGAATGTTCCTAGGTGCATTCTAACAGCAATCCACTGTTTATACCCAGACGTGTCTTTTCTTTTTTTAAGACTTTTTATCTACATTTAATCTAATTCCTTCGATTAATATTTTTAAAACTATTTTACCAGCAAGACGTAAAAGTTTTTCCTTTTCAAGCGACATTTTAAAATTAAAATTTAAAATATACTGTCGAACAAATACCAAGCACAGAGCTACGGCAGTGAAAAAAAAAAAAAAAAACGACGATCGCAATGCAGTAGTGACAGTTTTGTGCAAAACTATGCAAACAGTTACTGGCGTACACGATGGGGCACCAAAAGAAACTCGCACGTGTAATATTACCGTCAGCACACATCGACCGTGCTTGGCAGTTCAACGGCCGGCTGGCGTGCAACATCCTCGTGCTCGTTATCGGATCCGGATTTTTCCGGCCCATTTCGTCGTCCGGCACCGTCGTGAACCCGTCCGCGATCCGTTTCATGTGGTTCTGATAGACTGAGGGGAAAAAAATGGGTAAAAACCGAACGGGACCGCGACCACGGTTTATACTAATCACAGCGAGTAGGCGTGCGCGGACCTGTATTTCAAGGGGGTGCCTACTGTACTTTCGGGCCGTACCTTAAACGAAACGTGTCGGTACGTTTGATAAATTATGATGAGTAAATAATATTAAAAAAAAAAAAAAAACATAACGTTTTAATTTCTTATTCGATATCGTGATACATTTCATTGATTGCAACGATCTAAGTTCTCCTATGAGTTCCGTACGTTTTTTTTTCAGATTATTTACGATTCGTACTCTTGCAGTCAGCTGCTGTATGGTCGTAAGAAGTTTCCGCACGAAAGATTTAGTTTTATTTTTCCCGATAACGTCGATTTTTACCGAATATTTTAGAATAAAATACATCTGATTTGGCCGATATCGGTTAAAATACGAGCCCGTCAATCTTAGACGACTTGAACTGCGGGGTCGCCTCTGCATGCACGCCTATCGGACTCACATGATATGGTGGCTCTCCGCCGGAGTCCCGCGGTAAAAGGCAAAAACGACCACCACAGATCGGGTTCTCCTCTGCGCATATCTGCTTCCACACCGTTGTCCACCGGAAGGATCGCCGTCCAAGCAATGTCCCTGTACCCTGTATAAACATCGAACGTCACGTGACGGCCACACGGTTCGCCGATCGAACGGAAAAATAGAACGTATAATTTTTTCATTTTTTTATTTGTTCGTCTTACTGTGGGAACAACGGTCGCCGTAGTACCGCGGTACGCATTGGCACACGAAATTCCCGGCGTTCTCGACCAGCCGACCGCCGTTTTCGCATTTGTGTTGTTCAAGCACGTCGCAATACTCCCGGTTCGGCATCGGAGCACCTGAGAAACGCGAACCCGTCGTGAAAACAATGTCGTGTACATCGGATTATCGAAATCACCGCGATTAAACGTCAATTAAACGTCTTGTTTGTTCGGGCCGCGGACAGTTAACGTTTTTTTAAAAAAAACTAATATTGCAAAAGTTGCTCGTTTTCTTGTAGTACGATTTCGAACGGATGTTACAAGTTACGTTACGAGTTTAGCGAGTTCTACGATGCGGTGCAGTGTCGAACAGGCGCGGGTCTTATCAGTCACCAAGGCAGGGACCAATGGAGGTTCAAGAATTTAGTTAGTTGTTTCTTAAATCTATAGAAAATTTTAAATTACAGAATATGTTTTTCAGTCCCTTATAAGCAGTGTTGTGCAATAGCTAAATTTAGTTAGATAAATTTATCTAGATACCTTATCTAGATAAAACAATCGTATCTTTTATCTTATCTAGATAAATTATACAATTGGTATCTACCTGTGATCTAAGATAGAAAACTTCGTCATCTGTATTAATTTATCTAGATTGTTCACGAAAAGTAGTCTGAAAAATATACGAACATCATATTTTCTGATATTATTTTTAAAATTGTATAATATATTATATAATGAATTTTTGAATTATACGTATATATTTAGGTACCTAGTATTATTATTGTCATTTGTCGCTAATGTGCACCACTTTTAAGAAATTAATAATATTAATTGTATCGTTAATCGTCGACAATAGATAAGCTTTATATAATAATGTTAAATAATTCAAGTCGAAGATCTAAGTAAGAATAACCTGATAGACGATAGTACTGGGAATATTGGTATTAATC